GCCCCGCCGCTGGCGGCGGCTGCCGCGACCGCAGTCGTCGCCGCCACGCTCCTGCCAGGCAGACTTGGAGCGGAAGCTGAAGCCGAAGCCCCCGGCCAGGGGGTCGTCGCCGCTCAGCGGGGGATCATCATCGTCGTCGCTGCGCCAGCGGCTGGCCAGGCGCTGCTGTTGCTGCGGGGTCACCGCACCGCCGGGTTTCTTGGTGGAGCTGCGGGCCGAACCCCCGGGGGCGTGGGGGTAGCCATTGGCGCGGGAATCGGCCTCTCCCCACGCGGAGCGGTGTTCCGGGCCTCCCCGGGACGCCGGCGCCGCCGCTGTCTGCGCCGCGTAGCCCGGGGGGCTCACGCTTTTGGAGCCCGACATCCCCTCCTCGGCCTCGTCGTCTTCCTCCTTCCCCGGGGGCCGGGCCGGGGGTCTCCAAGGGGAGGGCGGACGGCCGAGCAGGGGGACCAGGCTGGGGTCACACGTCGGGGGCGGCCCGGGGCCCTGCGCAGCAGCGGGGCATCTTGGCACCCCCGTCCTGAGCGGAGAAGAAGGGCAGCGGGAGGGCGAGCGGGGAGGCAGGCACAGCCCCGAGGTGACAAGTGGCTGAGAAACCGCTTCAGGAGTCCCAGGTCCGAGATGGAGTTGGCTCCGAGCTGGGGCAGCGGGGACTGCTGGAGCTGCTGCGCCGGGCGCAGAGGGACGTCCGGACTCCTGGCTCGCGTCGAGCTCGACAAGGACCGGAGTTGCGGACGAGGCGGGACGGAGAGGTGTCCTTGCAGGCGGCGCCTCCCCGGGGCTGGCAATGCCCGGGCGCGGCTCTCGTAGATACTGCCTAAGCGGAGCCCAGCGGCACACGCGGCTCGGCGGCGGCTAGGGCAGCTCGGCTGGGGTCCCGGCGTGGAGACCAAGCGGGTACCCTTTCCTCGTGGCGCACTGGGAGCGACTGGGAGGTGCGGGCGCCAGCCAGCATTATTTTCTTACGAGGGGTGGGGAGGTGGGATGGGGGGGTGGAGAGGACGGGGGAGGGGGCGGCGGGCGGAGCAATAGCTCCAGAGTCCTGGGGGGAGGGTCCTGGAGCCCAGGGGGGCCGTCGCCCGCATCCCCCACCTCCCACTGCGAGAGTGGGAGCGTGGCCCCCACGAAAGGCGAGCAGAGCCTTCAGCGCGTCCGCGCAGGGGGCGGGGGCGAGGACCGGCTCCTGCGGCGCGGCCCTTCCCGTCTCACCTCCCCCTTCCCCCACAACGGAGCGGGGCTGGCCCGGACCCGCCGACCCAAGAGGGCTGTCGCGCCGGCTCCGCAAGCCCCAGGCTCCTGGCCGCCGGCTGCGGGCCCACCGCGGCCGGGCGCAGAAGGACTAGGCGGAGGGCGGAATCCGGCGCAGCGCCGCCGCCGTTCTGCCCCAACGCAGGCGGGCTTCTCCCAGGGAGCACGGCATCCAGAGATCGGGGCCGGGGCTCAGATGCAGCCGGCCGAGAGGGGCCCGCCCAAGAACCGCTGCGCCCCGGGGGCGCTCCGGGGAGGCCCGCGGGAGCCGGGCTCAGGGCGCGCCATGCGCGCTTCGGGCCCTGCGCCGCTCTGGC